GCTGTAGAGTGATTGCATGCTTGTGCACTAAAAGACTTTTAGCAGAAGTATTTTAACAAATCAATACATAAATATTTCATAAAATTTTTGTAATAAAAAGATTATTAAACTTTGGTTCAGAGTTTTTAAGCCAAATGAGCAAAAACCACTCAAAACAAAAATATTCATTCAGATTTCTTTATGTAAAAAAAAAACAAAAAAAACAAAACAAAAGCAATGTGTTATTTTCTGACTATGACAGTGTTATATGAAGTACAAACACCCGTTTAGGCAGAATGTCCAAGGATCAACACAACACAACTAAGTCAGTCATGAAGTCAACTAGTAGATTAGGCTGATTGGGGATTTGAGAGAAAGGAACAGGGGGGACGGGGGGAGAAGTTTAAGAAACTTAAAAAATTACAGTTAATTAAAAGAGAAGAGAAGATGGTCTTTGTTTAGTCAGGAGCAGAAGTGGACAAGCAGCGGCTTACTGGATTACTGGGAGCGTCGCTGGTCATGTGAGCCAGCATGGTCTACACTGACCCTGCTTACCGTCTCTCAGAAAGGAAGCTTAACCTGGCTGTGAATGTGAAGTCTCACACAAACACACATGTTCCTGCCTGAGCATCCTTCAATCCCCCGGGACAGACCTTAAATGACTTCCCAATCTCTCTTCGGCTTCCTTTCTTTCCTCCGTTATATCTTTCCATCTTGGTTTTTCACCCTCTCTTCCTCTCCCAACACCTTTTAATTATCTTGTCTATTTCTGGCCTTTCATCTTCTTCTCTCCCTCCCTCAGTTTGTTTTTTTTTTCTTCTATCTGCCTCCTCCGGATGTCAGGAGCCTTTTAGTTGCACGTTATACATGAACAGCTCTTCTATGCTCTCATAAATCCTGCAGGATTCTTTGTAGGGTTTTCTTTTTGTATTTTTTTTTTCTGCGACAGTAAAGAATATAACTGAAGACAGAAGAATAAAGCATTTCACAGCCAGGAGCAGAAACTCAGATGTTGGCCTGACAAAAAATTAAGACTAAATACAAGAACATAAAACGGTAAGTTAAACTCGTCTGAACTTTATGAAACGTGGGGTTTTCTTTGTATTTTAGTGAATGTTTAGGCAACGCAAAGCTATAGTAAACACTTTAAATGGATAATTCATGTGACTTTTCCATAACAAATCAAATCAATTGGATACAAGGACTTGAGAGACCCGTCTGCACCCTCTCGGAGACCACAGGCAGAATGAGCTCGGGTGAAGGGATGGTGTGGATCTTGGTGCCATGGGGGTCTTGGCCCATTGGCAGCCATGATGGCATCACTGTGAACAAGAGTGGCTCGACCCTGGAGGGTAGCGGGGCGATGAACTGAGGAGGAGCTCGACCAGAGTCACACCTTCTGGAGGACGGTGGTTTGTTCGCCATCACGTTACGGTGATCTCCTCGCCTCCCGATGCCAGGGTTTCACATTCAGCGTTGTAGCTTATCAGTTGGTGGGTGTGTGTGTTGGAGCTCTCACCTCAACCCCACTTGAGGAGCTTGAGTAAAATAAAGCATTGGTTTATTTAACAAAACAAAAGCAGGCTGGCTGCACTGCTAAACCTCGAGGAGAACCGGACATGGTGTAAGCAGGGGGGACAAGCGGACTGTTGGATGCTGGGAAAGAAAGAGTTTGCTTCTGTTTTGTGGGAGTAGAAGGGTGGGCATGATTACATTTGTTAAATATGGGTATGTATTTTTTAAATAATTTATTTTGGATGTTTTTATTGCTTATCTGTGATGTTTGACTGGTGGAAATGCAGATGTCTGATTGCCCTATCGCTAGATTGGGTAGATGGTTGGGTGGAGATGATAGCGTCTGCAGCGCAGAGGAGCAGGGGAAGGAGGACGGGGAGAGGTGGGGAACTTCTTTCTAGTGGTAGAGAAGGTTGGGAGATGGTTTAATTTTAAATGTGAGACATGAAATAAATTTGAAGCTGAGCTTTTGAAAAACATATCTGTGAAATCCGTGTAATTTACAGACAGTCCGTACAACTAGACATGTACAGATGAGCGAGGTGAAGCTGAGAGACTATAACGGAAAGGGGCTAATAAGTGGCTGCAGCTGTGACTGATGACACAGGGCACAGGTGTAGATGGGTGTGGCAGGATAACTAGTAAAGTACTTACTGAGGGAGAAGTGGTTGGCGGCACAGATGACTACACAAAGATAAAAACAGGATCCACCTACAAAAACCCTGATGGAAAACCACTCGGGATCAGAGTCAACCACAGGATTTGGACTCCTTCCAACAACAGCTGAACCAATCAACAAACTAAACATTACATAAATTAACAAAACATGGTTTGTCCCGTCACTAAAAACTAAAAGAGGAACGTCAACAACCTCCTGCAACAGAGTGTGAAAAAACGAGTGACCCTTGTCTCCTTCCATCCTCTTTACTAGTTAACTAATCAGGTCTGACCAGGTTCATCTGAGGAGACCGCACCAAACAGGCACCAGCTTAAAGAAACATGTAACAGAGACAAAAGTCTTTTAGATCATGTTTTTTTTTTTATATTAATATGCTTAGCTTTTATTTTTGGGGGGCTTGGAATCTACTGGATGTTTAACTTTCAGTGCTGCAGTTTGACGGAACAGCAGTTTAGTTTATCGTTGCCTTTTTACTGCATTAATATTTCAACAAAGTAAGAACCTAAGGTGGGGGTTTAATTAGGTATATATAGTGAAATTTATTTTTGTTGAATAGATCCAGAGCCACCCAGGAACCAATTTTATTACAAAAGGAAGAGGAGCTGCTCGTGTTGCAATTGCTGCGGTGTAGTCATATACCTCCATCACGAGTCAGAGTGGTCAACTGGGATCTTCAGGGGGGGCTTTTAAGTGGGCTAATTAACAGTTGTAGCAGGAAAAAAATATCTACCTGACAGTCGTGTAAATTTATCTCCTCCATATAAAAATGCTCTCCTTTCCACGCTGGTGATCGTAAAAAGAATGCCTCCCAAATTGTCACAGGTGATTAAGACCAGTCACAACATGTTTAATTTATCTCTTGATGCGGTTATTAAAACCACCTTCTGAAAAGGAAAAAAAGTATGCAAAACACAATTAAAAGACTCAATGGGGAAAATGAGAACATAGCCAAACGTGTGAAGATACAACTACTGTATTTTTCACAATAATAAATCAGCACAGAGCTCAAGGAGAAAATGAAAACAAATTACCATAGAATTTAATGTCACTGTTACTAAACACAGTATTTTCTTTTAATTTTACATGGAAAGGAAGTGAGATATGAAAATAAAAAATTAATTATTGCAGTTTGTAGCATTGAAAGATATTATGCACATTCAGATTCTACATAAAAAAAATATTCTAGATCAGTGGTTCCAACCTTTTTAGGCTTGTGAAACCCCTGAGCCTTTTTGTCATAGCACTAGTACCCCCTCTGTCAAATGTAATAATGATTCTCCGAAACTATAATGTACAACTGTATAAATTATTATTTTTTATTTAATCCCCTTAACTTGAACATTTAATTCTCAGACATTATATTCTTTTAAACTCAAATTAAACAAAAGATAAATATGTTGCCTTGAAAACGAATAATAAATAAGCCAGAAGCAGCAGCGTCCAAAATACATTGTATTGTCCAAAAATACATGCATGTATATTTTTTGTGTATTCCTGTAATTCAAATGAAATAACAAAACATGTAAATAAATAAATAAAAATAAATAAATACATCAGAAACTCACCCAAATTAGCAATTTTTTTTAAACAGGAAAAAATTTTGTTTAGTCAATTTCACAATTCTGCATTTTCCGCATTGCGAAAATTATAAGGCCTATTTTTTAAACATTTTTTTACACACCTGYGAAATTTTCCATGTACCCCCGTTAATATGCTCGTGTACCACTAGGGGTACACGTACCCCTGGTTGGGAATCACTGCTCTATAGTGTGGTGTCCATAAGTTGTAGCTTGTTCTTTCTCAGTGTTTGTGTTTTATATTAGCCAAAACTTCATTTCTTTTCCTAGGCGACTAAGTTCAATATAGTGGATTTTCTGTGTCTGTTAATGGGCATATGACCGCAGTRAAACAAGTGACAGGCTCCCTCGTATGGTTTAATGATGAACTGCAGGAGCGGTTTTAAGAAATGAATTTGGTGACCCATAAAAAAATCTGTTATGACCCCKCTGAAGGTTGGGAGCCTGCCTTTGGGTATGAATGATGTAGATCATTGGTGAAACCTTTTATCAMATTTCTTTAGTGATGTCTGACAGTGTTTAAATAAGATTTACAAAATTGTTTTGCCACTCTCGTTTTGTCTTCGTTGTGTTTGTTAGGCCATTGTCATGTTCAAACGTGAACACATGGTCCAGTCTGAGGTCCTGAGCTCTGTGGACRAGGTTTTCCTTGAAGATGTTACTGTACTTTGCTCCATTCAGCTTTCTTTCAACTCGGATTAGTCTCCAAGTCTCTGCTGCTGAAAAACACTCCCACAGCATGATCCTGCCACCACCATGCTTCACRGTTGGGGTAGTGTTGAAATATTGGTTAGAACTGAGGACCAACAATTCAGTTTTTGATTTGATCGGATCAGAGAATCTTGAYCCTCACAGTTTGAGAGTCCTTCAGGTGTTTTACTGAGGAGAGYCTTTTTTTTCACCACTTTGTCACAAAGCCAGATCAGTGAAGMCCCACAGCTCTGATAGCCCATATGAAACATAGTGTCATCACCACAAAGGAACTTTGAAGCTCATTCAGAGTCAGCAGGTTATTTTAGGTCCTTCTCCCTTGATTGCTCAGTGTGACTGGGCAGTCAGCTCTCAGAAACAGTTCTTACTGTGTCAGAATTCTTCAGTTTGAAAATCATGAAGGCCACTGCCTCCTGGGAACCATCAGTGCAACAAAATATTTTTTTACTTTGTAGCCTTCTTCAGATCTGAACCTCGCAATGATCCTGTCTCAGAGTTCTGCAGGCTGTTCTTTTCACTTCATGGTTTGTACTTTTATTTCTTGCAGTGAGTAGGGGGCCTTATCGKGGCGTCTGCCTTTTCAACTCTCATCCAATTCATGTTCATGTTACCAGAGGTGAACTCCAATCAAGGTGTAGAAACATCCTATTGCAACCTATTGAACYTATTTTTGCGTTGTAGGGGAAACCAGAGTACCCGGAGAAAATCATSCAAGCACAAGGAGAACGTGCAAACTCTGCATAGAAAGACACAACGTAGGTTTGTGACATGCTCCGCGTCTTGGCTGATGTACTGTAAGTGTTCCACAGGTTTATGTTTTGCAGTGTGCATYGTGTTATTATTCCATACTTCATCACTCTCCAGGGGGTATTTTGCTTAGATTTTTTTAATATGAAGTAGCCAAAAAGTCACTCTTTCACCATGTTTTTTTATTGAATGGTTTCTGCCATTTCCTTTTACCGTTTATGGGTGATGAAACAGTTGCCCTATCAACAAGCTTAAAAATCATTTTCAGGCTCACAGCACTCAGTCAAAGGTAGAAAGCACTAATATATTATTTCATCTAAATACTGACTGACTTTCATGACACTCCGATGATGTGTACATGGTTTTTGAGCCCAAATGTGACGAAGCTATGCAGATGCAAAACAGCAAAATTGTCTTCTTTTTGACCTCAGATAATCACATGTTTTAATCTAGTTTTATTAATAGTGCCTATTTCTATTGAATGATGTTTCTAAATCACATCTGTCAAACTCAAGGCCCATGGGCCAAAGTTGGCCAGCCACAGCACTTTATATGGTCTGCGAAAGCTTCAAAGATGTATTACTAATTGTTAAAATGAGCGTATGTTGCTTTAAAGCCAGCATTGACCATAAACTACATCTCCCATAATGCATTGATTATGTTACCTGAAAAATGATGCCATTCCACCACTAAGTGGAGGCGCACAGGGCTCAAAAGTAGCTGGCAGCTGGGGAAATTTGCTGTGTAAAATCTCCATTTCTCTGCACTTTCACCAGCTAATTTCTCTGTGGCTCAGTTGAACAAGGAAGTGGAAATTTCTCACTAACAAATCGTGAATCTAAACTGGAACACCCCTCCAATGGGAATTCCCTGTCTGAAAATGGGAGAGTTCAAAATTTAAGATGGCAGGTATTCACCACAACTCAACAGTGAGTAAAACTCTTACTTTTTCATAGAATTTCTGTATGTTTTATTTTACACTCAGTCAGTCGTACACAGAGTAATTTCAGTGTTTATAAGAGGACATGTTAAAGCACTGTTGCAGGAAATACCATGTAGACCTCAGTTATTATTTGTTATTGGAGTCAATCTCTTCGTAGTTTCAACTCTGTTCATTACACTTGTAAAAACAACAGTTGAACTTTTGTTTATTAGTCTTGTACCTAGACAAAAAAAAAAAAAAATCTCACTCACATGTAAGACCAGCTGTAGTCCCAAGTTTGAGGTTTCCAGTTTTCTGGTCCCAGACTGACGGTCAGCTGGAAGGCTGTTGTAAACATCATGTGGGCCACCATACCCAAAAGTCCTGCCTCACACAGAAGATTAACACACACACACACACACACACACACACACACACACACNCAATGGCAGCTCTAGGACAAAGTATGCAGGAGGAGAAGCATGGCAAAGTTGAGATGACTTAGATGGGAAACGAATCACAATAGTGTGCATTGCATTGGCAATGCACACTGATTATAGCACATGTGTCAAATACAATTTGGCCCGCGGGTGACTCCCATGTGGTAAACTTTAAATTTATGATAAATACGATAACTAAATTCCAGTCTCTGAGTTGTTGGCTTTAAGTAACTGAGCAATTTAGTTGCATAGCACGGTACTAATGTCTGAAAATAAGCTGCTTAAAGTCATCATTAACCATAAACTAAATAATATTTCTGTATTTATTTCAGATTTAGTCAGTCATACATTTAGTTCTTATCTGTGTTTAAAAGAGGACTAAATAAAGAATATATAAAGAATCTAATCGGTACTGTTGTATTATTCTAACTGAATCCAGGGAAAAAGTCTTGTATTCCTGTCAACATGTCTGAGTGATGCAGTCACAAACTGTGGCATTGGCTCCTCTGTTATCAAACATGCTATGATTTCCAGCTAATCCATTTAACTGGAGTCACCACACTGACCTGCTGGAGCCCGGCTGAAATGAGATTTTGCTGGCTTCGTGTTGGAACGACAAATTGATCGTTCTAATTATAGCCGCTTTCACGTCCTCATCAGCTCTTACAAAGCTGTATAAACCGTGGAGCAGAAGAACTTTTAGAACGTAACACACTTCAGACTGCTTTTTCCAAGGCTAAACATCTCAAAACATCACAGAAATCCTCTCGTTTCGCCCTCGCAAAAGGTAGGAAAACATTGAATCCACTACATTGTGTGAAATATTAGCAGAATTAAGGATTTTCTTTTGCTGATCGCAGCGTTGCAAGGTTTGGCATTTCGAAGTTTAATCAGAACCCATTTAGGCGGGTGTTTTGTTGCAACCGTAAAACCATGATTAGATAGCACAAAGCCTCAAATGAAATCAAATGTGAAGCAGGTCAAAACATTTTCTTGTGTAATTAACGCAGCGTAAAGGCTTTTATGGTAGGAGGAGGACACACATTAACTGTAAGCTGTAAACGACACAAATATGAGATATTTCTTCATTTAAAACTGAACTGATTCCCTCAAGGACAAAACGCTGAAATCAGTTATTCCTAAACCTTAATCAAACAACAAATACCAAAATAATCTGCTATTAAAACTAAACTAAAAATCTATGGTTAACCTGTTTCCTTCATTGGAAAAAATATTTTGAAAAACTGCAAAATAAAAGGCTGATATATCAGAAACTGGTTCAAATGTAATCTCAGGTGTTCTTTTTTATTTGAAGGCAGCAGGAACAAGATAAGAACCTGAGCGAACAGAAAAGTAAACACAGAGAAGAGGCTTATCCGGAACAGATTAGCCACTTCTCACGTTTACCACTCACTACCAGCAGTAAGAGAAGGATTACATATAACATGATGGGATTACACCTATTGAAATAAAAAAAAAAAAGGTAACACAGACCAAATTAAAGGAAGCTTTAGGAATAAAAAAAACATAAAAACATGAGGTATTTTTGTGGTGAAATAATATTAACGGAAGGACTTGAGGTAGGCAGACAATGCAGACGTTCGCTCTCGTGTGTTTGTTAACAAGTAGCGTATTGTACAGCATGTTAGACCAATCTGTGGCATTTAAAACTGTAGATACGGTCTCCACCAGTCACGTCTAACACAGTGGGACATTTCCCTTTTTAATGGCTTGTTAGAGAGCAGGTTCCCGAAGAGAAATGTGACTGCTAACAAGCAACTGTTAAACTTTTTGTCTAAAAAATGTGTGAAAATAATCCGGAGAAAGAAAAAAAGCTGGAAAATATAAAACTTTGACTTTTTTTGTCACCAATTAGCAAAACTGCAAACAATTATAGGATAGAGTAAAAAAAGAATAAAATGGGGGCTCAAGTTGTATCCCGCTGTGTGCCTTTTACAAACAGATTTGGCATTAAGTTTCTGAGTTTGAGACAAGTTTGAAAATTTAAACTACATCATCCTCAAGAGAGGATAAAATTACAGAGCTGTACCAGAGATTCAAGCATTTTCAAAGTGAATTTTCAAGATTATCCTGCATCATGTAGAGCTGATACATTCAATTAACTTAGCAAAATAAGATCACTTTACCTTCATATCACAAAACCAAATATTACTGAACTATAAAGAACCAAAGTTGCGTTTGGCTACCAGAAAACATAGAATGGGTATTGCGAAAGACGTTAGAGCACAGAGACAATGTTCAGCAGGCTGTTGGATGACAATGTTTTTCACAAGTGAACAATGGCAAGAAACAAATCAAGCATTACATGTCCAGTTCTTTTCCTCCTTCTTCAAATACTTATTAGGCTACATCCACTTTCGGTCATCAAACCAACAAGGTATCAGCATTCAGTATTATAATATAATATAGGTATAACTATTTTACACAGACCAGTTTTAGCTGCAATCTCTGTAATCCAAATATGTGCGTCTGCAGTGCAGTGGCAAAGAAAGTTCAATTCGTTGCCATGCCCATATCATAATATACAAATTTGAAGTGCCTGTGACTTCAAACTTTTGAATTAAATATAAATGTGTTTTTTATAACATTCATCGTGAACTGCAAAAATAATTAAATGAATAAAAATTTACGCTGCTAAGACAAACAGTTGTTCAGGCATTTACATGTAAAGAAACAGGGAGTGATGTCAAAGGGGAAGAACAGAGATTTGCTCCGATAACTAGCAACATAGACGGTAGAGAAGAATCTGATGTTTCTTTAGATTGCGTTTGAGTCACTATCATAGCAAGTTTAAGTACAGTAAAAGTTCAAATTTGTTTCAATAAAAAAAGACCAGGGAGGTTCCTTTCTTAAAGTGTTCCTCTTTGATGTCACTTCCTGTTTCACCTTGGCTGAGCCAAGTTAAAAAAAAGCTAGTTATGTAACAAAATGGGCAAAATCAAGTGTATTATGTGAAATTTCTTAAATAAAACAATGTTTTCTTTGATTTTTTTGTATTTATAGTATACACATGTCACCGGTACTTTAACATGTGACCTATGTTTTTTTTTTTAGAAAGATGACTGGCAAGGACAGCCTGAACAGCTGAGCTACTTCAATGGAGTGGACTGAACTGCCTTTCTGTCCAGATACACAACCTCAACCAAAACTGAAACACATCAATCATCTGACTCACTCTACGTTTTCATCATCCCTCCTCCTCCTCTTGATTGCTGCCTTCGCTGGGCTTTGTAATGCCGGTCCACCTCAGCCTGCCCGTCCACCTCTCCTGACTGGACAACCTTTTATCATCTTCTGGGGCATCAGTGACTCTTCCTGCTCCAACCGGATAGATCCCACCTCTTTCAGCATGGAACGAGAGGGGCGAGTAGCTGTCTTTTATGAAAATACATTGGGTAACTACCCATACTTTATAGACAAAAACACACCAGTTAATGGGGGGCTTCCACAGCACACGCGCTTGGACAGCCACGTCCAGAAGACACAGCAAGACTTGGAGGCAGCTTTACCAGCCCCCAGGTATCTTGGACTTGGGGTGCTGCGCTGGGCAGAGTGGGTACCCCAGTGGTCCAGGAACCGAGAGAAACAAGCAATGTACCAGGAGGCATCGAGGAAACTGATGAAGACTTTTTTCCCCAGCTGGACCACTGACGAAGTGGAGAAGTGGTCACGGGTAAGAAAAGTCCTAATAAAAAGGAAATATTCTAAATATAAGCATCAGAGTGAACGTTATAGAAGGAAGATTACTGAAAAGGTTAAAAAAAACTAGAGTGTGGGAATAAATGTAGACAAAAAAGCAAAGCGGCTACTTTTGTCTTCTACTAAAACTTAAGGTTTGTGCTATTTAGTCATACCCTTTTTCTTTTCTATTAGTTTTGACACATACAGAACTGTGCAAAAGTGTAAAAACTACTTTTTAAAGTTCTATTTCATTTTGATTCCCAAGAGAAAGATTTTCTTGTAACCTTAAAAATGGATAAACTGTAGGTCTTCATGGTTTTTGAAGGTCTTTCAAAATTGTTATTTGGACTTAAGCTGATTTTTAAGAAATATTAATTAGGTCCACGTTTCGGTCTGGCTGCTTGGAAGCAAAGTACTAAAAAAAGAGAGATTGCTCAAGACCTTTTCAGTGTCCTAAGAGTTAAATATGAATTTAAAGCAGTGGTGTCCAAAGTCAGTCCTCAAGGGCCGGGGTCCTGCATGTTTTTGGAGCTGCCCTTCAACACAGCTGAACCTGAGTGCTTAATTAGTAGGCCTCTGCAGACCATGATGGCATACTGAGGAAGCCTACTAATTAAGCACTACTTAGGTTCAGCTGTGTTGAACCAGGGCAGCTCCAAAAACATGCAGGACACCGGCCCTTGAGGACTGACTTTGGACACCACTGATTTAAAGTGTTCAAAATGAATCTGAGATGTTTAAGTGGACTATAAGTTGCAAGCTCTTCTGATAAAAACCAAGCAAATGTTTTTAGTGAACTGAAAGATCAACTTGTCTCGACACAGGTGGACTTTGAGGCTGCAGCTCAGTCGGTTATGGTGGAGACTCTACGGGAGGTCAAAAGGTTGAGGCCCAAAGCGTTGTGGGGATTCTCCTCTTACCCCAGCTGTTACAACAGGGATCCTCCTCAAACACAGTTAACCAATTACACCGGCCAGTGCCCTCCTGCAGACATGGCCCTCAACGATGAGCTTATGTGGCTATGGAAACGATGCTCAGCTCTCTACCCCTTCCTGACCCTGCAGAAGTTGCAGGTGTGTTATTTTGTAATTTGTGACCAATCACACTGGAATGAGGATTAAGTCTAAAAATGGGATATGGAGAAAGAGGCAAATACAGTGTTTTTATTAAAATGTTTGCAAAAATGCATTTTGTCAAAACATAATGAATTAACGCCTTATCAATGCATCATTTGAATGAACTGTCTGAAATATAATCAGAAAACAACATTTTGAAGCACTTTTTTGAGCAGTAGCAACAACAAAAAAAAAAACTGAATTTGAGCAAAAACGCCTGAAAACTTTGAGATTTTCCCTGTGAGCTAGCAATGTTTTAGTTTCTTTCCCGCTGGGAAATCTCAATTTTCAAATAAATTTGAAGTTTCTTCTTAATAATTACATCAACAATTCCTCATTAAAATTACATAAAATTAGGATTCAGACCAAATTTTATTGTATACTGGATTAAGTCAGTGCTGGCTCTAGCCATTTTGGTGCCCTAGGCGAGTTGAAGCGCACCC